CTGCTGCCAGCGCCGCCATCAGCGAAGAGCTCATCATCCCCTTCTTCTCCCACCCGCTGCCGTTGCTTCCGTTTCCTTCCGCCGAGCACTTCACCACTCTCCCTCTCTTCGCCATCGACGACAGCCCTGCATATCACCCAATCGATTCAATTTCTTGGTTCCCCCAAGCTGAATTGATAAAAGCTAGAGGTAATTGTGAATTTCAAGGGAGGGGGGGCGTCAAGAGTACTCACCGAGAACTGGGGCGGAGGAAACCCCTAGAGAGGGGTTGCGACGGAGAGATGCATGGATGAAGGAAGAAGTTGTGGTTGTGGCGGAGATGGACGCCATTTTTCACACTCTGACCCTGGGAAGGAAGGAAGGAAGGGATTAGGACGGTAGCTGGTTCTGTGAGAAACTACTGGAAGTAGTTAGCTTTGCAGAGGTGATATAATTTGCACAGCTTAATACTGACCATAGAATTTGCCCCCATCACAAAGTTCCATGCTAAGTTACTCTCCTTATTGGATCTTTTAGTTGTGTATAATTCTTGGTTTCGTGATATGGTATTGGAGATATGAGCAGGTGAGGTTTGGAACGGACCAGAGCATTAGCAGCAGTTGGTTGTGAGATGGAATGTGTAAAATGGAATCATGGTAATTACTTGGCTCTACTCATAAAGGTAGGCTAATTTGAACCTCAAGGGAAGAATTCTCTTGCCACTTCTTAAGCTTTTTGTTTAGGTTTCCAACGTCAATGTGTGCCTGCTTTATGTCAACATAATCAAGCTTAATTGAAAGCAATACTTCCCACTTTGTTCACTCAATTTTTCTGTGTTTCACGGCTTTCTTATCTAATTTTTTTTTGTTTCTAAATTGCCTCTATTTTGGATATAACTTGCAGTTTAGGCTATGTAATCGACAACTAATGATTTAATCCATGACCTTCGGAAGAACGGTTTGAGTTTACATTTTCCTTATGTCATTAGTTCTTATAAGTAATTTGTTGAGTTCTTATGCTAATGTACGAACCCTTTTTTCTTTTTTTCCTTTAGTAGTTTCGTCCAAGAAATCATGTGATCATTAATTTTTTCTTTAAGATCACTAGGTTCATCGATTTAGTTTGCCAATCAAGCATTTAACCTTCGTTTAGTTCCTAATTGAGAGCGTAAGATCATTTGTATAATAATAGTACATGCCTCCGATACTGTGTTAAGATGGAACTGAAATGAGTTGGATGTAATGTCTTTGTTTGGTCCACTTTTATTCAGTGTTCAAGAAGACGCGATTAATCTCTCGCCTAGGCGCGATTAATAGATGGAAAGGAGGAAATCGCCCAGTCTAGCTCTGGGCGATTGATCTAGGCACCTGGGCACTCGGAGACGCGTTTTCACTTTGGTGGGCGACGCCCAGAACAACTAATAAAGGAAAAATTGTAGCCTTTTTGTGAAAATCCCAAACCCTATTCTATTTCCCTTTTCCACCCGCTCTGTAGCCTCCCCGAGAACCTGTCCAATCCTCCCGGAAGATTGATCAATCTGCACTCGCATTTGCCGGATTTGGTAGGCTAACTGGGTTGCCGGCGCCAATAGTCTCTCGAAGGCCCAGAGGTTTCTATTTTTCCATAGTTGCCAACAGAAAGTAACGAAGAGGGATGCGTCTATCGGTCTATGGTATTAATAGTCATCTTTATCACTATGCTTTTCATTTTATTTGTTGCTTCTAATTATAATGATCAACAGATAAGTCAATAAAATATGTGATCGCGTTGACCTATGAATCAATTTGGAATTGTGCAAGTTGTTGAAAATAAACACTATTTCAAGAGACATTGTTTTATGCAGGTATAACAGCTTCATTCTCTACTAGAAAAAGCAACGTCGATCATTTGCCTGGAGGGAGGGAAACATCTTTAGGAATCTTCTTGAAATTCCCCGACTTTTATTGTTGATCATTTGACCTTCCAAAAATAGCGATGAGCATAATGTAATTGTCCATTTTTTTGCAAGAGGATAATAGATTACCAACTAATTCACTAATAATTCTTGAGCTTTACGGATGGTATTCTTTTTAATTAATTTTCTTTATTATAGCTATTTATTGTTGTAAATTTTCACTTCATAATGTTAGTATACGTGTAACTATAAACATAATTGTTGAAAGCGTACTAATATTTGTGGATACTCGAAACCTAATATGCCATGAAATAGGTGGCAGACACAAGGACTGTCGTAAATTTAGCATATGTTATACTATCGAGCTAAAAGTCGAGCACAAAGCTAAGAACAAATTTATGGGCACACAAATTTTTGACAAAAAGTTTTTATTTGTTGGTGGTACATATTTGTTATAAATTTTTAGAATCTTTCAAATGACATAGTAAAACTGTCACCCCCATTCAAATTTTCCTGTCCATAGAGTGATTTTAGGAAGCTGATGTGGCAGGGTGTTGAGCGGGAAAAAAATAGAACTCCCTGCCAGATTGCAGAACTAAGAATCGTCCACTACCCACCTTTTTCTCCTGGTTTCCCACGTTATCATTTATTTTTCATTTAATTTTCGTTTGGCTGAAATACCACCTTTTTTACTGGGTTCCCACGTTATCCTTTCGCCTACCCGCAGGATAGGAGGAGAATCAGTTTCCATCGGAAAATTCTGGTAAGAGTGCGTCATGGTTTCGTGTTCAGCGGAGGAAGGCGCTGACGGCCGGCTGTTGCTGAGTTCATGGGAAGATGACCAGACGTTTTGGTGGTCAGTGGCGGAAAGCAGTGACGGCCCGCTTCTGCTGCGACTGAGGAGATCGCGTTTGGGAGTGCAGCGAACGATCTCCGTGGCGAAGAGGTTGTCGACGATCGAGGCTTTCCCTTCCGGCGAGAAGCACAACTACTGCCGCCACCACCACCGTCTCCTCCGCCGCCACGAACCCTGCTTCTTCTTTCTTCTCTGCTTCAGCCTCTAGAAGGTCGCTACAAATAGCTCCAGCTACTCGCATCCGTTGAGGAGCCATCGCCGCTGGGCTCGACGCAGCTGCTGCGGCCACCGCCGCCATCAGCGAAGCGCTCATCATCCCCTTCTTCTCCCACCCGCTGCCGTTGCTTCCGTTTCCTTCCGCCGAGCACTTCACCACTCTCCCTCTCTTCGCCATCGACGGCAACCCTGCATATCACCCAATCGATTCAATTTCTTGGTTCCCCCAAGCTGAATTGATAAAAACTAGAGGTAATTGTGAATTTCAGGGGAGGGGGGCGTCAAGAGTACTCACCGAGAACTGGGGCGAGGAAACCCCTAGAGAGGGGTTCCGACGGAGAGATGCATGGATGAAGGAAGAAGTTGTGGTTGTGGCGGAGATGGACGCCATTTTTCACACTCTGACCCTGGGAAGGAAGGAAGGAAGGAAGGGATTAGGACGGTAGCTGGTTCTGTGAGAAACTACTGGAAGTAGTGAGCTTTGCAGAGGTGATATAATTTGCACAGCTTAATACTGACCATAGAATTTTCCCCCATCACAAAGTTCCATGCTAAGTTACTCTCCTTATTGGATCTTTTAGTTGTGTATAATTCTTGGTTTCGTGATATGGTATTGGAGATATGAGCAGGTGAGGTTTGGAACGGACCAGAGCATTAGCAGCAGTTGGTTGTGAGATGGTATGTGTAAAATGGAATCATGGTAATTACTTGGCTCTACTCATATAGGTAGGCTATATTTGAACCTCAAGGGAAGAATTCTCTTGCCACTTCTTAAGCTTTTTGTTTAGGTTTCCAACGTCAATGTGTGCCTGCTTTATGTCAACATAATCAAGTTTAATTGAAAGCAATACTTCCCACTTTGTTCACTCAATTTTTCTGTGTTTCACGGCTTTCTTATCTAATTTTTTTGTTTCTAAATTGCCTCTATTTTGGATATAACTTGCAGTTTAGGCTATGTAATCGACAACTAATGATTTAATCCATGACCTTCGGAAGAACGGTTTGAGTTTACATTTTCCTTATGTCATTAGTTCTTATAAGTAATTTGTTGAGTTCTTATGCTAATGTACGATCCCTTTTTTCTTTTTTTTCCTTTAGTAGTTTGGTCAAAGAAATCATGTGATCATTAATTTTTTCTTTAAGATCACTAGGTTCATCGATTTAGTTTGCCAATCAAGCATTTAACCTTCGTTTAGTTCCTAATTGAGAGCGTAAGATCATTTGTATAATAATAGTACATGCCTCCGATACTGTGTTAAGATGGAACTGAAATGAGTTGGATGTAATGTCTTTGTTTGGTCCACTTTTATTCAGTGTTCAAGAAGACGCGATTAATCTCTCGCCTATGCGCGATTAATAGCTGGGCAGGAGGAAATCGCCCAGTCTAGCTCTGGGCGATTGATCTATGCACCTGGGCACTCGGAGACGCGTTTTCACTTTGGTGGGCGACGCCCAGAACAACTAATAAAGGAGAAATTGTAGCCTTTTTGTGAAAATCCAAAACCCTATTCCATTTCCCCTTTCCACCCGCTCTGTAGCCTCCCCGAGAACCTGTCCAATCCTCCTGGAAGATTGATCAATCTGCACTCGCATTTGCCGGATTTGGTAGGCTAACTGGGTTGCCGGCGCCAATAGTCTCTCGAAGGCCCAGAGGTTTCTATTTTCCATAGTTGCCAACAGAAAGTAACGAAGAGGGATGCGTCTATCGGTCTATGGTATTAATAGTCATCTTTATCACTATGTTTTTCATTTTATTTGTTGCTTCTAATTATAATGATCAACAGATAAGTCAATAAAATATGTGATCGCGTTGACCTATGAATCAATTTGGAATTGTGCAAGTTGTTGAAAATAAACACTATTTCAAGAGACATTGTTTTATGCAGGTATATAACAGTTCCATTCTCTATGGTAAAAAGCTAGTGCAGATTGAAAATATGAAAAAATAGATTAATATAAAAATATAATAAATAAAACTAAATTCATGCGACCAACGGGTCGGGTAAAAAGCTAGTAAACAATTATGGTAGTTTGATCCAATACGTCAACGTGGCAGACAGCTAGCGAGCCCCTCGATGCAGTGACTTGTAGGAAGGAACGGCGCCTTTCTCTCCTTCTCTGGCTCTCTCCCGCCTCACTCACGGACAAGCTACGGATGATTGTTTTGCAGACAACGACCACGGACCAACCCCATATCCTCACTTTCCACTCTTCTTCTTCTCGCTTTAGCATCCAGGGGGAGAATAAGAATAAGGCTTCCCATCTTCTTTACATCATCTGCACGCCATCGCCATGGGCCAAATTCTCGACAGACTCAACGGTATTCCCCTTTGTTTGTTTCCCCAAACTTTCCCAGAATCGTAGTTCTTTTGTTGTCTTACTTGCGTTTGATTCGAAATTTCCGTGAAATCAATTCCCGTCCATGGATCCGTTCACCGGCTCTGGCCAAGTTTCCCCCTTCCAATCTGGGGTTTCCCCTGTTTCTGAATCTGTGCTCGTTGCACTGACAGCACTAGATTGATTTAGGGTTCCTTAATGGGTTTTTGTGTCTGACTCTGGACATGTGGGGAAGTTTTTAAAATTCGATTTATGGAAGGTGAATTTATTGTATGAGAACTGAGAAGCTCACCTGAGACGGAATCGAACTGGGTCCAATTTCCTTGCAGGTAAGGAGTGGAAGAGAAAGCAAGTCAAGTTGATAACAGACAGGGTTTATGATCGAGTTAGTAATCAATCAGGACGGCTTACTCTCACCTTCGACGATCTGTACATCGCTGTGCTTCTTGTCTTCAAGTAAAGGGATTAAATTAGTTCTTCCTTTGATAAACTCTCAATACCAAGAATTTATCAGTTTCTTACCTAATAGTTGCTCTGCCTTGGTTTTGCAGTGACATTAACAAGCACTTGCCCGGCCCCCATTTCGACCCACCCTCCAAAGATCACGTCCTTGATATCATGAAGGTATTATTCTAATCATCATCCAACGTAGAAGTAGAAACCTTCGATTTGATAGCTACCACCGGTTTGAAGTGCTACTATGTGTAGATGTTAAGTACATGGTTGGCGTTCTGTTTGATAGACCTAGATTCATAACTACAACGAACCGTCTTTAGAGTTTAGACCAAAGAAGGCTAGCTGAGGTGGTGGTGGGTTTATCGATTATTTATTGGTTCCAGGAGTGGTTCAGAGTTGTGACGTATGAATTGGGGTTCTTAACAAGGGTCCTTGGTCTTAAGAAACAGTGTTTTAGTATTGTTCTAGGCGCTCTTGCATTTTTGTTGTCATACAAATGACATGCCTTTTTGGATGCCAGGAATGTGATATCAACCTAGATGGCGGGCTTGATCGTGAAGAGTTTGCCAAGTTCATCAAGAAGCTAACAGCAGAGACATTTGTGGTAGTCAGCCAGGGACTTCTGCTGACTTTGGTGGTAGCACCAACCCTTGCAATGGCGACCAAGCGAGCCACCGAAGGCGTTCCACATGTGGGGAAAGTAGTGCAGAAGGTTCCGAATGCGGTATTTGCATCGCTAGTTACTCTTGCCGTCGTCTGGATTCAACAGTCGCAGCATGAAGCCTTGTAGTTTCAGTTTGCCCCACTGGTTGATTCATGATTACTTTCAGAACCTATAGTATAGTACTACCAGTCTTGGTCCCATTAAAACAGAACATCTTCTCTTGTTAATAAACTACTTCTTCTGATCATATGATTGTCACTGTTTGAATTGCAACGAGGGAAGGATTTAACTTTTATTAACACAGAGAATGAACACAATAAATGGATGAATGAATTAATCAGTCACTCTGCACTATGCACTACATCACCTTCCTGACAACTGAAGAGAAACAGTAACACTACCAATCTTGTTGGTATTTATTAACAAATAATTACAGACATATTAAGGGTTTACAGTCCTGATTAACTTCAGACCAAACTTCAATCCCTTGGCCGCATAGAGAGCAAGAATCTACGGGAGTACTAAATCACTCCATGATTCGAAGCAGTGGTAGTAGCAGACGCTTCGTCGACAATCCACCGCCTCTTCCTCGAAAATTCATCATCGTAATGCCCTTCCTCATGATCGAAAGTCATCTTGCGGCCGCCGTAATACCCATCTTCTGACTGGCCATCGTAATGCCGTTGGTCATCGTGTTCTTCCTCTGGCGGCCACTGTACCACCCGTCTTTAGACCAGCCACCGCAGTACCTAGGTAATTGATCAAAATGGTCCTATAGTGTTGTCGTTTTAACGACTTTTGAACCTGGATATAAATGAGCACTAGCGGAGGCAAAGCCAATATGAAATCGAACAAAAAAATAGTCAAGAGAATGAACAAAAACAAGACACCAAATCTACGTGGAAAACCCTCTAAAGCGGAGGGAGAAAAACCACGGACTGACAAGCCAGTAAATCCACTATGATCAAGGAATAATCTTCAACGTATAGAGTTGTGGAGTAAGCAGAAAACTCCCAACATAAAGGAAAAATACTCAAAAAGATATTCTACAATTTAGGAGAATAAAAGAGTTGGAAGAATTCGGTGTGTCTATTGAACAACAATAGACTCCCTATTTATAGCCTTGTAAAATGGTTTAGAAGATGCAAAAGATAAAGTGAACGACACTCCCATTAACCCAAGGGAAACTCCACAATTAACTCCATGTGGTAATAACTTCAATAACCCCAAGTGACTTCCATAACTCCAAGTCTTGGAATTAAGTTGAGACATCAATACCAACAATCTCCACCTTGAATCAAATTGGAAAAAATTTGTCCAAAAACCTCTGAGAGGTAATCAAGCTCTTCGAATTCCAACTAAGTTCAAACAACGATTAAATTTTAGCTGAAGGAAGAACTTTAGTGAGCATATATGCAGGATTGTTGTCCAGTATGAACTTTCTTCACACTAATATCACCTACAGTCATAACATCTCGGACAAAGTGGTACTTGACTTCTATATGTATGGTCTTCGTATGATACATGCCATTTTTAGTCAAGTTAATGACACTTTGTATGTCCGAAAATATTGTTGACACAGTTTGTTCAACTCTAAGCTCAATTACTAGGCCTCGTAACCGAATAGCCTCTTTCACCCCCTCAGAAATAGCAACATACCCTGCTTCTGTAGTTGACAAAGCATTTACGGGTTGCGAGCAAGATTTCCAGCTAACACATGAATTGCAGAGAGTGAAAACATATCCAGAAAGAGACTTCCGTTTATCCAAGTCACCTACAAAGTTAGAATCTGTGAAGCCTATAATATTGTTGGAATGATTTTCACTCCTCTCAAACAACAGACCCATATCACGGGTTCCCTTCAAATATCGAAGTATCCACTTCACAGCATTCCAATGTTCTTTTCCTGGATTTTGCATATACCTGCTGACAACACTTACTGCATATGCTAGATCGGGTCTTGTACATACCATAACATACATCAAACTGCCAACTGCACTCGAATATGGAACGCTAGACATGTAATCCACTTCTTCTTTCGTTGTTGGACAATAAGCAATAAATAACTTGAAATGAGCAGCGAAATGAGTAGAAGTGGGCTTACAATTAATCATTCCGAACCTTTCAAGTACCTTATCAATGTACTTACTTTGGTTCAAAAATAATTTACCAGCTTGTCGATCTCTGTGGATCTCCATACTCAAAATCCTCTTTGCTGCTCCAAGATCATTCATCTCAAATTCTCCTTTTAGTTGTGACTTTAACCTATTGACCAACATTTTGTTCTTAGAAGCAATAAGCATGTCACCAACATAAAGAAGTAGATATACGTAGGAGCCCTCGGAATTTTTTTGGAAGTATACAAAATTATCAAATTGACTTCGTGTATAACCCTTTCCAATCATTAAAGTATCAAAACGCTTATACCATTGTCTAGAAGTTTGCTTGAGACCATATAATGATTTTCTTAAGCGACAAACCATATGCTCCTTTCCTGGAATCACAAAGCCTTCTGGTTGCTTCATGTATATCTCCTCCTCGAGATCACCATGAAGGAAAGCAGTTTTCGCATCAAGTTGCTCTAACTCCAAATCAAAGTGAGCAACAAAAGAGAGCAAAATTATTATGGAAGTGTGACGCACAACTGGAGAAAATATTTCATTGAAATCAATACCTTCACGTTGGTTGCAGCCGCGAACAACCAACCGCGCCCTCCATCTTGCCACTTCAATACTGGGAATTCTTTCTTTCTTTTTGTATATCCACATATTTGAAAGTGCTTTCTTACCCGTAGGCAGAATACATAATTCCAATGTATTATTCTTTAACAAACTTTTGTTTTCTTCATTCATTGCTATAGGCCATTTAGATGAATCTACACAAGATATAGCTTCTTTGAAAGAAGTAGGCTCAATTTCTTCTGAAATTTCTTGTGCTAAGGCGAGAGCATATGCAACAAGCTCATCATCTCTTTATCGAGCAGGTTTTTGTATCTCTCCTTGGTCGATCTCGAGTCAAGATATAATCTTGTGACACTTGAGGTGGCATTTCCTCATTTTGAACTTCACTAGGATTTAACTCTAGACAATGTAGATGGGTAGGTGAATCAACTTGTTGTTCGAACTCCACCTTGTCTCTTGGAGTCTCAAGATTTTCTGCATCATGGGACGAAGAAGTACCATCTTTGGCAGAAAATAAGGCATCTTCGTTAAATGTAACATCTCTACTTTGAATAACCTTTTGAGATTCATTCAATACACCAAAAACGATAGCCTTTTGACTCCATAGAATAATCCAGAATAAACACCTTTTAGCTCTTGGAGAGAGCTTACCCTCATTGACGTGATAATATGATTGGCAACCAAATATTATTAATTTGGAATAATCAACAGGTTGACCTGTCCAAATTTCTTCTGGAATTTTATAATCCAGCAACTTATGTGGAAAACAATTGATTAAATAACAAGTTTTGGCTGCAGCTTATACCCATAAATCACGTATATGCCATAAACCTGCATTTGACATCATACACCGAGTCCTTTCGAGAATTGTTCTGTTAAGTCTTTCGGCAACACCATTTTGCCAAGGTGTTTTAACTTGAATTTTGTGTCTACCGATTCCATGTGAGGAACAAAATTCATTAAACTTAGTTTCACAGAATTCGAAACCATTATCAGTTCTTAAGTTTCTTAACTTTCCTTCCTTATTGAGTTTCAACTAGCACTTTCCACTTTTTGAATGCGAGAAAGCTTCATTTTTGTTCTGTAAGAAAGAATCCCAAACTTTACGAGAGAAATCATCAATAATTGTCATCATGTATCTACGACCTCCTATGGAAGGAAATTTAGAGGCCCCGATAAATCCGAGTGAATATAATCAAGCACCCCCTTGGAACTATATGAAGCAGCAGAGAAACTGACCTTTTTCTTCTTCCGAAGATACAGTGTTCACAAAAGTCAAGTTTCCCAAATTTTGGCTTCCCAATAGTCCTCTTTTTCTTAGAACTATCATTGGCTTCTCACCCATATGTCCTAGCCGCATATGCCATAATTGAGTATTATGCGAATCAAGCAGCAAGGTAGAAATATCTGTTGAACATGTAACAACAGAACCTTGCAGGACATATATCATACCAATGCGGTTAGCTTTTATCAAAACAAGAGAACCTCTATAAACTTTAAGAACTCCACCTTCAGCTCCATATCTGCACCCAAGAGACTCGAGGTGCCTAAGGAAATAAGATTTCGCTTCATGTCAGGAACATAGCGAACATCAGAAAGAGTTCTGACAACCCCGTCATGAAGACGCATTTCAATTGTACCAATACCAAGAACTTTGCAAGGATCATCATTTCCCATTAGCACAACACCAGAATTAACAGGTTTAAGTGTTTTGAACCAGTTCTTATTGGGAAAAATATGAAAAGTGCATGCAGAATCAAGGACCCAAACATCTGAATTACTGCCATCATAAGAAGAAATTGTTGCCATACCTTCACCATCAGAATCATCATTGACGATACTAGCTTCTCCGACTTCAGAAGCCTTTTGAGATTGCTTTTTCTTTTCTTCTTTGGCCTTTAATTTGAAACAATCAGAAATTTCATGACCAATTTTGCGACAATAGCGATAGTACTTCACATCATCAGATTTTTGACCACGTGACTTGGATCGAGCTTTACTTTTACCTTTGCTTGATTCCCCTTTTTCCTTGGATCTTCCTCTTATAAATAAAAATTCACATTTGTCATTATAACTGGACTCAAAGTCAAAATTTTCTTTTGACAGTAAGTTAAATTTTACATCTTCATAAGACAAAGTATCCAGATTTTCATAGAGCATGATCTCTTTGAAGTGTTTAAAGGACTAGGGTAACGAACATATTAATAAAACAGCTTTATCCTCATCTTCAATTTTCACGTCAATATTTTCCTAGTCCATAACAATGGAATTGAAGGTAGAAAGATGAGTGTGAATTGGAGTACCTTCATCCAGACGAGTAGTGTATAACTTCTCTTTTAGACGAAGCTTGTTAACGAGACTTTTCGTCATGTAAAGTGACTCTAATTTTGTCCAAAGTCCAATTGCAGTAGTCTCACTCACCACCTCGTGCAAAACCGATTTTTACAGGAATAATTGTATAGCAGTAAGAGCCTTTTCATCGAGCCCTTTCCATTGGACATCAGTCAAGGTCTCTGGTTTGGCTTCAAGACCAAGTAAATCCTTTTGAATACCGTTTTGTGTCACAATTGCCTTCATTTGAATTCTCCATATTGAGAATGATATCTTGCCATCAAACTTCTCAATGTTAAACTTTGCAGTCATCTTGTTGAG